GTGGTTTATTGGGTAACATGTCAGTGTTTTCCGTTGGAATTATAATTGGTGTTTCAGAGTAATTACATATAGTGTTTGGAAACAAGTGAAGGTTGAAGGATTCTTTTGAGTGGAACATGAGTTTGCTGTGACGTAAGGTTAGTGAGGATACAATATACATTGTGATTTACTGTACTAAAAGAGCTTTAACCGTATGAGTTAAGTGGAATAGAATATGAAATATTTTGTTAATATTATTCAGGTAATAACGTCCATTCATGATGGGGACAATCGATAAATTTGTAACCGTCAAAAAATTAACAATCCTTATACAAAGTTCGCATTTAAACCGTCAACAATTTGATAGTGAGAAAGGGACTCTATAAAATCATGAAAAATGACATGTCGTCAACACCCCTAGCAGCTGCATGGCCTGACATCTGGCCGCGTGGTGTGTACTACTGTCTACTGTACTCTGTACCGTCACGGCGGATCTATACGGCAGATGCAGCCGTCACGTCATCGCATCTGTCACATCACTTATCTACTTTACTGCCATCATTAATTGCAACTCCGATCCGGCACAAAGGACCATCAGCCGTCGGGATCCGATTGAAAAGAACTTTGCCCGGACTCGGCAAAGAAAAGTGTCGTTTCCCCGCGGCTTGTCTACACAGTCGTAATAACTTTACATTCCGCCGCGAACAACTTCAATCGACGACGCTTTTGAAATACTCTACATTAAGATTATTCAAAACCCGGATTCAATTTATTTTCACCGTCTTTACTTTTATAAGGATTCTCGACTTTATATTAAAAACTACGAATGTATCAATGGGCTACATAACTCTTCGAAGAGGATTAAACGTTGCGTTGCGAAGCAATTATGCCAGCCGTCGCTGTGATATTAATTATTCCAGTAACATGTTTACGTTCGGATATAATCGCAGCACAATGAAAGAACGCTGTTTAGATTAATAACACCGACGACCGGATGAGTGAATGGGTTTAACGCTCAGAGCGCCTCGCTTCCAAGATTGCTCTGCTTTTGTGATTTTAAACGGTATCAAACAATACTGTTATTCTTTCCAATTTAAAAAAGGGGTTCTCTCCAAGGGAATATTTTTTAATTACTTATAATTCTTTTAGAGTTTTAAATCCTTATAAAATCTACTGCATCTTAATATAACTCTGAAGTTTATTTATAGCCTAGTCTATTATTTTTATTTGAAGAGATAGACAAGAAATAAAACTCATATAGTTATGGGTACAACAATGGATGCCAATTAATGCTAAATTATTTTTCTAATTGCTTTTTATCTTAATAATGCGAACTCTTTATACTCTTCCAAATAGCTAATTAACTAAAAAGATTAAATGGAGATACAGAATAAAAAAGTTTTTATTAAAACTCACCCTAAGCTGGAATAATTAAACCTAAGGGGGGGAACGTAGGTTCTTTGAGACGGGGGAAAAGTTTGTGAGTTGTAGTACGCAATTAATTTGGATAAAATCCAGCAGCGAGCGCGGGGCTTTGAAGGTCGCAATTTTTGTCGACATTTTCTTTCTCGAAGGGAGTGCAAATCGTAGTCAAAATATGGCGATGATCGCCACAAAAGTTGTACGCGAGGGCGGGAGACTTTGCGAACTTGAACGATTCTTAAACTTCCCTGAGGACGGTTTCTGCTAGGTGGGGGCTGATAAGGTCCGTAAACGTTACATAGTTCAGCATCTCATATACTTTAGTAGACTTCGGGGGTTGGCTGTCATGGGAAGGAAACTCTAAAATATATCTTTCCCCCTTTACAAATATTTTTGTTCCCAATGTTTCCAATCCCCTTTGTAAAACTTTGTTTTTCACTTCTTACAGTTTTCTTGGCTCTTTTGGCGACCCGGCGAGTTGAAATATCACTAGGATGAAAATCTTTCTAACTTGTGTAACGAAATCCCGTAAATGAAATGTATTCTTTTGTAATAGTTTTAAGATTCAAACAGGTTTTACAGAGATAAAATTTCGTGCATGGAAACTTTAAACTTTCGTGATACTTATAGATCCTTCTGAAACCTTGACCTATTCAATTTCATGTCTTTAGTTTGTTTTCGATGTTTACAATTGTCTTTCCGGAAGGTTTAAGTATCAAGTATGACGTATGATTGTTTACACATTTATTGAAATGAACATAGGCCTAAGACATGGATACACACAACTTAACAGAATTTTCCATTATCTTGTTTACGTGCACATTTGTTGGTTTATTTGTAATCTTCCACTGCGGATTGTTGACTCTTAAATACTCATACATATTTAACAAGGGAATTGTTTGTATTGTTTCTTATTCCTTACAGAATTTGATGGATTCGCTTGTGTGGTTGTAGACTGGTAAATCGAAACTTTTCGTTACGGATAATTTAATTGAAATCTATTTACGTTGCCAACATTTTTATAATTTTTGTTTAATCAAATTCCAACATAACAAACGATCAAGGCACACGTCCTAAGCACTCGCAACACTAAAATGTGGAATATTTCTTATATTTTCAATATTCTGGACATTTTTCCATGATTAATTCAACTATACGAGAAAGTTGTGTGAACTTGAGTGCGGAACCAAACCGAAGGTTGTATTGTCGAAGCCTGCGAACATGACGAACACACACACTCGCAGTCTTATGTCATCCGACCCAGTAGATCTTGCTACAGTCACAGCCAAGTACTTCCTACAGGGGTTGCGCAACTGGACCAAGTGCGTATAAGGATAAAGTAAGCTGTTTTTTTGTTGCAAGTCTTCGAAACGTATATAAAACTTTCTACGATTTGATAAACACAAAGTGAATTTTATCAACTCTTTTCGTTTTGTGAGCCAAAATCTAAATAAATATTTACGTACTCAATTTTTTACTTTACGGTAGGCATCTACGGCCAGTTAACTGACGAATCGTTAAACTAAGAAAATAATAAGATAAATTATTCAGCTGCGTTGAAGAAATTCATCTGTTTGGATAAAATGACCCACAGTTGTATTGATCAACACACGCCTCGAAGATGAATTTATTGGAACGCGATCGAAAAGTGTGTTATTATCTTCAGTTATGATAACGCGGTCATCCCCAAAGACCGATATTCACTAGAAGAAAATGTTGATTAAATAATTAGCCTATAATCTAATGGTTTTTAGTATTATAAAACAAAAAATATGGCCGGGATTTAATCAACCCTAAAAATAATTGAAGCAATGACCAACGCATATTGCAAACTCCCACTACACGTGCAGGCCCCTGCTGTACAATAGTCGACGAAATACTCGAGTAATGATCTTCATTATTTCATACAATGAAAACGTCAATAAACATACCCCATGCGTACACCATACACCCCCTTCCGGTCACTCGAACACAACTAATGATGTTTGCCCTTGCAAACAAATCTGACCGAACATTTTGAAACTTAATTAAAAAGCCCAAAGAGTAAGCCATCGATTGCAGGGCGGGTGAGCGCTAGGGGCGGCGGTGGAAGGGTAGGCACAATGACCTTGTAGAGCGGTGACTCAGTGTGTATTACCATAACATACGTCGTCGGTGTGTGTGTGTGAGGGGGGGGGGGGTGCGGCGTGGGACCGCGTACACGCGTCGAAGCTTAACATCACATCTGCCCGTGAGTCATACTCTTTTGTGGCCCGTCGGGGGCGGACCGAGCGGGGTTTAAATGCAAATTTAACGGTTTAAAAGGCACGGTGGACTGATCGCTGATAAGTTTCACGGCTCAAAAAGTGCAGATTGCCACTGTTATGCAGATTCCGGACAAAGGTCGGTTCGTTAGACGTGTAAAAGGGTCAGCTGCCAAACAAGGACTTCCTGATAGATTGTTGGATAAATAGACTTGATCAACGTAAAATCGTTTTGGGGTGGAAAAGAGGTAGTAAAAACTAAAAATTTATTCACGGTCACGTCCTATTTAAATTTCGAAAATGATAAAAGTTAAACAAGAAAATTCGCCCACCAAACACAGTGCTAAGCTCCCTTTTACTCGTAGTAGCACTCTAAAAATTGCCACATTAGGCCAGGCGCACACAGGCGATTTTGAGTCGCGCAACAGTTGCCCGACTAAAATGTTCAACATTGTTTTAAATTGGAGTGCGCACACGAAGGAAACAGTCTGGGGACAGTCGCGCAACTGTTGCAACCGATGTTCCCGGACCCAATTTGCCAGCGACTGCTCTGCGACTGAATTGTTGCGGGACTGTCGCTCCAGGTTTGGTATCCATTGAAACAAGTGTAGATGCGCACACATGCAACTAAATAGTCGCTGTGTCGCTCAGTCTCACCCCAGGAGTTCAACTACTCGTGGCCAACACTGCCACTAGTGTTTGCTCTCTTGTTGTGTGAAGATTTTAGAAAATTACAAGTATGAGTGTGCGTGATGAGGATATATGATGTCGAACAATTAATTGAAGAAGTTGAGAAGAGGCCGACTATATTTAAAGTCATTGAAACTGTCCTTTCACAAGTCGCTCACTATATATATGGGATGAACCCAGTATCTTCTCTTTTTCTTTCGCGCGCGAAACTTCAGCAACAAAGCACATACTACCCCACTTCTTTTAATCTATGATACTACGGCTGCATGGTGGAAGTAAGTATTTACTTCCACCATGCTACTACGGCTGTATCATTGAAATCCATTCGGAACGCTGTAACGAATGTATTTCCAACACGTCTTAGATCCGCGACTAAAAAGTTGCCTGTGTGCGCACTCCAGCTCAACTGTCGCTAGACTTCAGAGTCTCCGAGAGAGTTGCGCAACAGTCCCCCGATTAGTCGGGCAACTGTTGCGCAACTCAAAATCGCCTGTGTGCGCCTGGCCTTACGATAGCCACAGTGGTATTTACACAAATAGCTATTTCCGAACGTCCGCCAATGTAAACAAAACAACACAACTCCGGCGCTACAAACATCGGACGAAAGTGAGTGAGAGAAAGAAGAAGTTGCGGAGAAGAAGAAGGCGGTGAGGACGATTTACTCACTCTCACTGCTGTTGCAGAACCAGTGGAACCAGTTGTGTAGCTACAATGGTGGTAGACGGTGGCGCTCGCTTACCTGCAATCAAACAGAACCAGTTAGCCTACTGTATAGCTAATGACAACCACTACAATGATACCTTATAAAGCTACTGGCACAACTTTACACACAGAAGAGGACATTGAAAACGCAGTGACTCGATGTAACAGGGGAATCACACTTCGCAGAACGCGAGGCGAGGGTCGTTATGACGCATCGATGAGTATTTCCCGCGAGTTCTGGAGTAATTGGTCTGTTATTTACACCGGATGATGTCAGCGCTGCTTCCCATAATTTGTAAAACTTGAAAAGTCAATTTGAGCTTGGAGGTGAATTATCTAGTTGATTCATATTCAATACCGAATCACAAACAAGTTGGTTGCCTAGACGTTAGCCAGCTAAGTGCACGGTGATTCATACACAGCACAATAATGTTTGTTCACACGAGTCTTAATCAACAACAAAAACTACATTTTCATTAGACCAATGCTTATAGGTAATACCAGTTATTGAAATACGCTTATCCCACAGATCCTCTCCACCATCTCCTGCTACAAGACTCTGGCCAGGCGAGGAATGCCCAGGAAGCGGCTGGAAGATATCACGTGGTTTGTAGGAAGCGAAGGTAAACCGCCGCGGAGCCTTGCCTCTATTTCTGTTGCCACCAGAGGAAGTGATAAGACAAACTGTGTTTAAGTAAGCGTCAAATCTGTAAACAGCGTTGGAGCTATTCTGAGCCTTTGGGGCCGTCCACCTCTGACCAGCAACAACGAACAGCGGCGCTCCTACACGCTACATTGGCGACAATCTGCAATGGCCAACTTTAGCATTCGTGAACAACTAACCGTGTTACAGACATCGTCAAAGGAACAAAAGTTCAAGTAGCTACTTAATAGCTTTACCCTAAACCTAAACTAGCTATGAAATGTGTTAGTGAACCTATTACTGTACGTTACCGTACCGTACATATTTCCGTAAAAGAGTTAGCCAAAATGTTCTTCGATGCGAATAAAAATTCCCATGCAGAAAAAATCTCGTACCTTAAAAGATTCATTTTGAGGCTGAATACCTTCTTGGATTTTTATCTTGTCCATGACTGATTTGTTTCGGTGGTTAGTTGATATTCACAAAAATACGATCTATAGTCAAACGTCTTATCCAGCATAATAAATGTCTGAAATATTCCATTGTCTTGAAGGTTCGATTACTGTTGAACTTTGAGGATGTTTTGATACTTCGTGATGTTCACTTGACAATGCACGATTTGTTGATGCCAACAAAAAGACAAACCAGTTGTCTGTCCAATTGTCCTCTTGCAATTGCAACTGATACTTTTCGGAAGTTGGCTGTCAGCTGATAGACACAAGAAGGCTTTTGACTTGCTCTCAAGCTTTTCTAATAGTAAAAATGCCCGTTGCATCTCACGGTCGTGAAGCTTTTATCGCCTTCTAAAACATAGTAAATGCAATTTTATTCTGATTTCCTTGGCGGTTTGGGCCATGAATTTTAGGCTTGGTAAAGTTTCACTTGTTACTGCAATATTTGCATTGGACGAAAGCTGCAATGTTTACAAGACTTTTGCTGTCGGTTGTGTACAAGGACGGTTGCTGCATTTTTTAATTCTTAGTCTTGACTGTTTGATCATTCATGCACTTGTTGGGTTCTTGATACTTTTGTATGCATAATTTATCTATTGGGAGTAGGCTGATCCACAAAAAGATGTTTCAGTTGCTCTAAACGTCTCTTCAGACATCATTAAATTTCAAAAATCGCTCTTTACCTTAGAGGTTTTATGTTTTTAACTGAATGTTTTGACACTTGGTGTATTTGTCCAGCACACAGCTCCCGAAGAGCTGGAGATGACCTCCTGGTCGGCCGGCCATGACACCCGCGTCTGTCTTGTCGTTAGCTTCTCCATTGTTCCCTCCTCGACCTCGTGGGAATGACGCTCGTCACGCTGCTGCCGCCATTATCTTGTGCTCCGGTCTCGCTTCAGTTGCCGCCCCCGCCTCCGTAACATTCCGACTCCAAACCATGTAAAACACTACACTGGTACACTGCTTTGTCGGGTTCCAACATTCCGTCTCCGAACCATGTAAAACACTACACTGGTGCACTGCTTTGTCGGGCTCCAACATTCCGTCTCCGAACCATGTAAAACACTACACTGGTACACTGCTTTGTCGGGTTTCAACATTCCGACTCCGAACCATGTAAAACACTACACTGCCACACTGCTTTGTCGGGCTCCAACATTCCGTCTCCGAACCATGTAAAAAACTACACTGGTACACTGCTTTGTCGGGCTCCAACATTCCGACTCCGAACCATGTAAAACACTACACTGGTACACTGCTTTGTCGGGCTCCAACATTCCGACTCCAGACCATGTAAAACACTACACTGGTACACTGCTTTGTCGGGCTCCAACATTCCGACTCCAAACCATGTAAAACACTACACTGGTACACTGCTTTGTCGGGCTCCAACATTCCGACTCCAAACCATGTAAAACACTACACTGGTACACTGCTTTGTCGGGCTCCAACATTCCGACTCCGAACCATGTAAAAAACTAGTTCCAAATACTTCGTCGTTAGTTATCGGTAAAATGATGTCTAGACCAATGAATTCATTTGTGGCAACATATAGGAAAAGTGAATGTGCAACAATTTACAGCAGATAAACTTTGTATAATTTTATGATAAAGAATATAATATAAATCCAGCGTTGAAAATATATATTTTTAGTACTTAAATTCGTGTGATTTCCAACTCATATTTAAAACCCCCATTTTCCTTTTCGGATTCGGAGAACAACTTTGAATAGGCTACCTCTTTTCTATGTTATTGGCAAACCTACAATATCGCGGTATTACGTCAAAGCTAAGAGCAATTAGTGTTTCAGTGCGATAATCGGCTTAATAGTGAAGGCAGATTAATCAGCCAAGATTATGTACACTTTCTATGCATAAACTTGTCATATATTACTTCCCTTTTTATGTTGTTAGTGTAGGTTTTGGAAACACGATCAAACAGATGTTCAATACAGTCAGTAATACACTGGATAGCATTTTATCAGCTTTGGAAATACGAATAAAACATTTTACAACCACAAAAGTCAAATCTCGATTTGATAGCATTTCACGCATATGCGTTGAAAATACAAATTCAACCGCTTGAATTTTCTGTCAACAAAACTATAATTTGATTTTTTCATCACAATCAAGCTAAACGACAACCCCTGCTTGATGTCAACGCTCAATAGCATTTAGGCGGGACTCGCCCATTGATTGGACGAGACGTGCCTGTTTTTGGTCAAGCGGCAAAAACAGCGGTTCCAATTCAATTACGCGGGAAGGTTCAACAAGTCGCAAGAACTGTGGGCTTTATGATCCAATGTTCGGACAAAGTAGTTTTCCAGCTGGCTTGTGATAGATGTCCAAGGACACTGGACAGCGCGGTCCGCAGCGATCCGTGGACCGTGGCCAGTGTTGCCAATTCGAGGGTTATCCTTTTGGAGGATAAAATTGAGCAAGGTTTATTTGGAATAGATTATGTTTAAATCAAGAAAATGATCACAGCAAGAGATATGCATCACCTACGAAGTCTAATAGACCTAAACAAGGTATTGAACTCTTTAGATGATATTTACTTGCCAAGACAATCATCAAAAGAATAGGCCTATACCTTACTCTGGAGTAAAATGATGAACTACATAGCGATAAAGCCTTGCTATATTCTCTCTTTCCACCATCTTAGTTAAAGATTATGACCCTCTAATTTGTTTGAAAAACAAATCCGGGCATTGTTTTAGGTTTGAGTTTGAAAGTGATGGAGGGTATTGTGATGTGATGTAGACTATGTGTAGGTAAAGCTATCCGCAGCGATCATCTGGTAGCGATTCGATGATGTCATCGGTGAAATCATCATCCAGCTGCAGACTTAACCTTCCAATCACGGCCTCTGTGCATGTAGCTGGAAGAAGCGAGGGTTGCGAATAATAATACAAGACCCAGTCGAGACCAATATAAACCATGACATAGTTGTTCAGATAAACCAAGTATAAGTATGGTGAATGATGTAAGAATTAGATCAACTCTTTGTTCAACTGTATAAAACACTGCGTCGCTTCTACCGAGACCGACTCTATGAAACAAGTTCTAATATACGCCACACCAAATTGCCTTGAAATACGTTTGTACGCAAAAACAATAATTACCTAATGTTTCTTTTTCAACCGGAACCGCAAATACCCGCTAATAAATAATAATTTCCTCGCCTTCGCCAATACGATAGCACCGAAGGTAACGGCGGCCTTCGCAAAGTAGAGCCATAAAATAAAACTGAGACGGCCGCGACCTACGCCAACAAGAAAGACCTTCCACCGCTCTGAGTGCGAATCGGTGGTAATTATTGCGTCCATAAATAACAGTAGTAGCTCGGAATAGGTGTGAAATGTGCAACTTATGCAGAGTAGTGAGGCCGAGTACACGTGAGTGAGAGTGTGTGTGCAAATGCACGGTGAGTGAACCTGCACAACGCGGCAACGTCGCAGTTCACCGTCCGCGATTCCCGCGCCACTCAGCACGCATGCAAATACGACGCGAATAGCAACAACCAATAACAAGCAAAACATATGCTCGGAATGGCAACATCGCGGGGACAAAGAGACGCAGCGGGATCATGAGATTGTGATCGCGCATCATCGGAATCAACCGTCTGTTAAAATATTATGTAAATTGCAACGGCTGCACACTAATCGATTCATACCGTGCTGAAGAAGAATAAAATACAAAGAAGTGCCAAAGAGCGCGATCATATCCGCAGAATCGAGATACAAGTTGTGGATGTGGAGGCGTTCAAGCATTTCCCGCGTTCGGCGCCACAACTTCATTACTGGAGTCACGCGACCGCTTTCAACACAATGTGTCTTTTTGTAACGTATTTTAGGTTCTGTAGATACCGGGTATACAGAAAAGTAACGAGTTTTTAAACAAACATACATATAATAATCTTCAACAATTTGGATACCAAATT